AGTATCAGCCGTGCATGTTAAGTGCTCTGTGTGTGTGTGTGTGTGAGCACAAGAAAAGGGCCCGTATGATATCATAAGAATGTGTTTGCTCCATCGAGGAGGGTTGGTGCTTGCATGATGAAACGTGCCGAGCGATGAGGCGTGGCTCGTTGTGAAACATCTTGCAGCTGTTAGACGGACACATCAAACCTTCTCGACGCGGACACCGCTCTGGTTTTAAGTTTTAGAAGAAGAGAACTCAACAATCTGCAGAACCACCATTAGACCCAATAACACCAACTTGGCTCTGAGCTTGATGGTCTCTACAGGTTCTGTGGAGAAAATCTTCTTGTTCAAACTGCCTTGGCTCCTTGAGGGTTGTAGAAACATCACCATCAGGTTCTGGACTCTGACTGGATCGTTGCAGCCCTGTGGTTCTGTTCTTTCTGACCCGTTCTGTTCTAGATCTGCTGCTGTGTTTGGATCACGGTCCTGTTGGACCCAGTTTGGTCCCAGCTTCAGCTTTGGACAGATGGACTCACATGGACATGGGACTTCTTTGGCAGGATTCATTTATCGTTGATTTAATGAAACGCTCAGATTTCAATCACTGTGTTGAAACTAACATTAAGTTCTGGAGTCGCCACAGAAGAACAAGCACGTTTCTATGTCACTCCATATTCACTTCACACTTGTTGTCTGTGCACTTGACTCAGTTCATTCTCTGAAATAAATCAATTAAATGCAGTTTAAACACTGAGAGTCATTCGGAACACATTTTAAGTGCTAACGGATCATGCACAATCATTAACAGATCGTGCACGATCATGCAGGATGCCATATTTTTGCATGGAATAATGTTATGTTCAAGATTTTAAAAAAATTGACAATGTCAAGTAACTAATAATTAGAATATTGTTATTATTTGTTTATAACAAGCCTCTCTTCATAATGAGACAAATGTGTCTCAATGGGACAAACTAAACTTTACAAAAACACTGGAGGACTTTCTTTCAACTTATTAAACCCCAAAGCATCATTTTCCCACACATGTTTCAACATTTTATTTTTGATTGTTTTGTTGTTACATTTATTTCAGATGTTTTTCAATCAGGTTTAGTTGTTTTTACATGTTTTATTAAGAACAGGTCCTGGTTGGTCTCTAAGTTATGGAGCACAGCGACACCTGCTGGTCAGACTCTATAAGTGCACTCCTGGGAATCTAGCTATCTTCTTTCCCAGGTTTTCCTCTGGCTCATGGGCGGCTGCTGCCACGTCCAGCTGTCACTGTTTGAGAGGTGGGGGACACCTGGACAGGTCTCCAGTCCATCAAAGGGACACATGGAGACAAACAAGACACAACGATTCTCACTCACAGGAGTTAATATTAAATTAATCTTGGTCTGCAGGAGGAAACTGAAGAACCTGGAGAAAAACCCACACATGCACAGAGAGAGCATGTAAGCTCCACACAGAAAGGCAGGAAGCAAACCTGCAACCTTTTTGCTGTGTGGCGACAGCGTCAACACTGTTCTGTTCTGACCCTCTGCTAATCTCCAGCGCTGACAATTTGTCACAAGTGGTAATTATTTCTAATAAAGTCATGACTCAGAACAATTCTCCATTCCTAAACTTGTCCTCGTGATGGACGCGGCTTTAAGGACATTTAGAGACGTACCCGAGTTGTCTTCATCTTTGCGTATCTTTAATTTGACCAGTTCTTCACACTGCTGGAGAATATGTTCTGCATCTTCTTTGGAACAGTTCTCCAGTCTTACGTTGTCGATCGCCAGCAGTTTGTCTCCGGGCTCCAAAGTTCCTGTTCTGGATGGAGAGAGGGACATTGGAACAAAAACAAAGGTCACGGTCAAGGTCAATGTTTCTTTATTTTCATTCTCATCTCATGTGGTGGAGTGATGTTGTGAACACAGGGTTCCAGCTTTATCCATCAAAAGTATAAACTGTAAAAGAAAAACAGTAATAGGATCTAAGATATAAAATAAGAATACATTAAGCACCAACAGTACAGAAACAAGACGCTGAACAGCAGCAGCTATTTATAAGACTGAGTTTGCTGCTGCTCCTCTCACTGAAGAAGTCTTTTGGATAAAACATTTCAACAAGAAGAATCCATCCAGAGGACCTGACTCCACCTGGTTAGATAGACCAAACTCTGTTAGAGCTACAGCTGATGGAGAAGATGCTGCAGATACCTGTGAGCCATGCTGCCCTTCTTGATGTCAGAGATGATCAGGGACTCTCCTGGTTTCTTACTGGCTTTGGAGAGAGAGCACAGGAAAAATCAGCAGCAATCCAGGGTTACAGTTCAGGATAACAATCATTGCACTAAGACATGGAACATTTACATGATCATGTTTGTTCTCATGCAAGGGTGTAGAGCAATAAATCACATTTTAATTTAAATAAAACTAATTAAAGAGCAAAGAAAAACCTAAATCAAGTTTTTAGTCATATTGGTGAAATAATTCAGCAACTTTGTATGAAATCTGTGAAACATGATGAGAGTAATGTTAGATTAGTGTTGAAAAGCAAAGTCAAATTAGCACAACTAAACTAAAGACTGACTGAAGTGCTTCAGGGGGTGAAGGTCAATGACTCAGCAACAACGGAAACTTCAATTAAACATGATAAAACCTCAATTAATGACAAATACATGATGTGACATGTACGATATCATATCATATAAGATCCAGGATGTGCTGTTGAACTGAAAGATGCTCACTTATGTCTGACGGCTCCAGTTTTCAAAAGCTGCATGTTCCAGAGCTTAGTGGGCGACCAGTGAAATGTTCTCTGTGGTGTTTACCCTGACCTGAGGTGTTCTGCAGCTGGTCTGTGGACCTCGGAGCTCTGCTCGCACTGTCAAAGTTCATCGAGGTAAGATGGCGCCATGCCGCTCAGATCCATAAAACAAGCAATGAAATCTTCATCTGAACTTAATGTGTGGTCCTCTTCATCTGATGTGGACACGTCTGCTCAGAAGATGGCACCATTACACCATTTTGTGTCTCAGTCTCAGCTCCACCTCTTCTGCAGCAGCAGCTGAACGTCCTCATTTCATTAAATGCCTTTTTAAAACAACTCCAACCAAAGCAGCCAGTAGATATTCACTGAATTAAGAAGGTAACTGGTGCTTTTACACACAGCAAACATCTACAGAGCATCAGTGTTGATCCCGGTGAACATCAGGAGAACTGGCTGCAGAGACGGACTCATCCTGGTCTCAGTGCATCTGCTCATGACGGCGTCTGTGGCTCTTTCACAGTTTGAATCCACACGAGACTAAATCGTTCAACACTGAGCATCATTCATGCACAGCTGGAAAAACAACTGGCTTCAAACTTTTGGTCTCAGTATTTGTATGAAAGTTAGACATGAAGAAAAGCTTTACAGTAAACTCCACATCCAGTACTAAACATCTACAGCGTCACTTTACAAATTCAACTTGTCGAATGTTCTTTCTCTGATGATGACATTTTCTTCAGACAGTTTTTGACATCAGTTCTTTTAAAAACATCAAGACCACAGAATACGACACCTCATTACTGGTTGAAATGGCGGTGCACAGATGTGCAGCGGCTTCTCGTGCTACCAGGATTAAGCCTTATTTTAATTATTTTAATCCCTATGAGGCTGTTTTAGGCACTAGTTATATATAATATACATAATATATATATATATATATATATATATATATATATATATATATATATAATATATCCAAACCATAATTATGGACTTGTTTTGATCAGTTGGTCCCTCAACTCAATTGACAACATTTCTTGGAAGAGAAGACAGGCTTTAGGCGAGCTGATTTGCCCTGTTGGCACGCACGCAGCTGGATATCTCATCGACTGGAAGACTTGATGATGTGTCTATCTCTGCTGCCATCTGTGGATTTTAAGGACAAATATTTAACTGGATTTATGATAACTGGTTCCTGCTTTTTGGATTCGGCTGGTTGCTGGTGTTATCAACAATCAAGGAAGTCGTCGGCAGCAAATCTGGACCCGATCACGCTGCTTGCCTTTATGATGTCTCGGTTCGTGCCTCGAGTACCCAGACTCAAATGCCTTGGGCAGAATGGATCAGATCTTGGGGATTTTACTCAGTCACGTTCCATCGGTGTGGCCATGTAATTTGGACATTTTGGAACCGAGTGGACCAACACAGACTCAAGGTAGACATCATTAAGTTCATAAAGAACACGAGTGTATTCTTAACTGAGTGTGCTTCATTCAGAGCTGTGGGGGGTCGGACATAACCGAACCAGCAGCTGATCAAAACAAAGTGTAGGGCAGATGAACGTGTGTGTGTGTTCCTACCACTGATGGTGAGCCCCAGCTCCACCCCTCTCTTCTTTGGCAGCTTGACGTGAAACGTGCCGCTGCTGGGCACCACCGACTCTGAAACACAAGCACCGTCCGGTAAAGAAAAGACACAACATGAGAAGCAACAGAGAAAGTGTAAAAACAAACGAGAACTTTCTACAGTCAGCTGCTCTGCTGCAGGGCAAAGGTTCACTTTAAAACCTTCTGACTGAACTGACTGAATGCAAGCGAGCAGTAATGAATCAGTCAAATGTGGAGGCTGAGGAGACTGAAACGTTGGACTCGTGGAAAAACTGCATGAAACATCTCAACAACTAAAACGTCTTCATTTAGTGATGCAGCAACAAGAACATCAACACAAACTGACTCGAGCAACATCCAAACATTTCTGCTGAACATTAAAAAAGAATCACGGAATAAATGAAGCACTTTGTTTTAGATCAAATATATATTTTTTAAGATTTTGAATTAGATGAGCAGAAAACACGTTTTTTCCTCAGGAAGTAAAACTTTCAGCCACTTAAAGTCAACACATTATTATTTATACTCTGAATAGTAAGAGGTTTTTAATGTGTTTTATCAAACAAGCTGCAAAACATTTTTGAACGTTTGTACTTCGCAGGTTTTCTTGTCCATTAATTTGTTGCCTCATTTTTTCACAAATAAACATATTTTGGATTTTATCCCCTTGCTGTAAAAAAGACGCGTGTTAAGTGTGAAGTAAATATTTTATTTAAAATCTTCCAAGAAGCGTCTCGTCTCCTTCAGCAGAACATGAACTATGGTTCCTTTTAGCAGCACGACCCAGAAAACTCAGTCAGACGTTCTCCTTTCAGGTCCTACTTGGTCTTGGGTTCAGATGGTCCGTCCGTCCGTCCGTCCATCCATCCATCCATCCGTCCATCCATCCATCCGTCCATCCATCCATCCATCCGTCCGTCTGTCCGTCCGTCCGTCCATCCATCCATCCATCCGTCCATCCATCCGTCCATCCATCCATCCATCCATCCATCCATCCATCCATCCATCCATCCATCCATCCATCCATCCATCCATCC